CTGGCTCCCCTTGCATGGCCCCAGGGCCAGAAGAACGGTCTTGCCCCAATGGAGTTGTGAGCCCCCATTGATTGAGAGTCCATTCCCCCCCTTGCTCACACCCAATTGGATGTTCCCTTGTTTCTTTATAGAACAAATTGGCCCATGAGAGCTTCCCTTCCAGCTTTCTCTGTGGTTCTGCGGGCGAAGAGTGTATTCCTCCTCAGTGGTATGCATAGAGGAAATTTTGGGCATTCTTTACTTTTACATGCAATTGTCTTTAAGGCTGTGCTCTCTGTAGTTCAGGGGTCTCCAACTTTTAAAGCATGAAATCACTTTTTGAATTTAAGTGCAATCCAGGATCTACCTCAAACTCAAACACCCTTGTCCCACCTCCTTCCTGTCCCTTCTCCAAGGCCCCGCCCCTGCTCGCTTCATCCTCCCTGCCTCCCCCATCCTTCCTCACTTTCACCAGGCAGGGACAGTGTGTTAGAGCGGGGAGAGGGGGATGTGCAGGCTCAGGTCTTGGATTAAGGGATCTGGAGTGCAGGAGGGGCTCTGAGCTGAGCCTGGGGCAGGCCATTGGGATGCCAGAGGGGGTTCTAGGTGCAGGCTCTGGGAGGGTGTTTGGATGCAGGGGTGTTTGGGTCTAGGGCAGGGGCTTGGGGTGCAGGAGGGGGTTCATAACTGGGGTAGGGTTTCAGGATGTGGTTTCCAACTGGGCACTACTTACCTCAGGTGGCATCTGGGTGGTGGTGCAGTGGGACTAAGGCAAGCTCACCCCTGCCCTGGTTCTGCACCACTCCCAAAAGCAGCCAGCAAACTACTTCCATCCCAAGCCCTGTTGTGTTGCCCCCTCCCCCGCTCTGTGAAGATAGAATACAGGATGGGAGAGGGGGCACCTTGACATCAGTGCCTCTCTTTTCCCTGCCCTGCACAGCAACCAGGAGACTCCTGGAGGTGAGGGGAGGCAGCTCCAAGGCAAAGGGCAGGTGTTGCGCAGCCGTAGTGGGAGGGCTAGCTGAAGTGCTGGCACTTGATAGTCTCTTGGTCAAACCAGTCAAGATCACCTGTCAGAGGCTCCAAGATCTAGCAATAGATCCCAATCTACTGGCTGCTGTAGTTTGATTAAATTGTAGTGGCGTCCAGTACGCACCAGAGTGTGCTGTGCACCTAACTATAATTGTTGCTAGTCAACAGAGGTGGCTCAATGGCAGGTGATGGATTTGTGACTTGCCCTAAAGAAGTCGAGGAAGGGTGGGATAGGACAGCTAGCAAGAGGACAGGCTGAGGCTCCCTGACGAGGCCCCTTTAAAGGGCTTTGGCACATTGACCAGGCCCAACATTGGGTGTGCTTGAAAGTTCTGACATTGAGCATTTGAAATGTCTGCACTAAAATTCTTCACTTGCACTTTAGAAAGAGCAGAGCTGGGATCTCAGTCCTGTTGCTAGTGGGACAGGTGTCTACAAAATCCCTCCATCTGGTGGGCACTAATTGGCCCACCCACTGGTAGTGCCAGGGACTGAAAGAGTGACGGGGCTGCATGGTGCTCGCCCCACAGGCTCTGCCCCCCCTTGCACTTTAGAAAGAGCAGAGCTGGGATCTCAGTCCTGTTGCTAGTGGGACAGGTGTCTACAAAATCCCTCCATCTGGTGGGCACTAATTGGCCCACCCACTGGTAGTGCCAGGGACTGAAAGAGTGACGGGGCTGCATGGTGCTCGCCCCACAGGCTCGTCCTACCTAGCAGGGCTGTGTGTTTGCGTGCAAGGGTGGAGCTTGCCCAGACTCTGCCTTTCCCGGGGTACGTTGACGCCTCCATCTCAAGCCTGCCAGTGAAGCCCCTTTCACCAGCCCTGGCTGAAATTCTTTTATAAAGAGCAAATGGAGCATGCCAAAACCCTCACTGTGGGTCACTGGCCCCTGCTGCCTCTCCAGCAGCAAGAACTTCCCAGAGCTGTGCATGTCTCTGTTGGTAACAGAAGGGGAGCCATGTTATCTCTGGTTCCATTAAGAGCACAGGGTATGGGGCAGACTTGGCCCTGGTGAGCAGCATGAGACATTTGGCCCTTGGAAAGACATTCTGCCACCTTTCAAAGAGGGTATGAATCCCACAGCATTACCAGAGCTGTAGAGGTGAGCTATGAACTGGCACCTGCTGCTGTCCCGTTAGTTCGTATCTTGGTTGATGTTTGTAAGGCACTCAGATGATGAGAGACCCTGCAGAATGCGAAGTGCTACTGTTTGTGATGTAGGAATGGGGCCTAGACTGTGCTCAGCTGCTTGTCAAGAGTCAGGCCTATGCCAAACTGGCCTAAAATGGAGCACATTGCCCATTTCCTCAGCTTTGCAAGTGGCCCATGGAGACCACAGGTCCCAGCATCCTGACCAGAGTGGAGGCTGCATTGTTTTCAGACCTGTAGTGTACATGAATTGCCCTTTTGGGTGAAAGAGGAGGGTGGCTGCAGAACTCAACCCCCTATCTGCCTTCAGTGTGCCATGGATGCAGAGCTTCAGTGGGCTGTGCTGTCCTGTGAGTGGCGCTAAGTTTACTGTACCCCCATCTCAGTGGCTTGGGTTTGCTGATAAAAATGAAGCACAGAGTGAGAAGGGGTTTGTCAGACAGGCTCATACAGTACATTGGGCCCTGCTGCATGTGTCTTGCCCCAGCTGTCCCAGAGATGATGGTGAAGGGTCGGTTTCCTGTGTCTATCTGACTGGAGTTTGTGGGTGAGATGGTCCATTGGGAGTGCAGGTTGTCCTGACCTGACTTGACCCCCTCCAAGGGCCAGGAAACTGCAGAGGGAGAGTGTCCCCATGAAGAAAGTTCTGTTGGTGAGAATCAGAGCAAGGTGCATCCAGTCCATACTGGGGAAGAGGTCAGGACTGTGCTCTGAGAAAGCCTTTGTCTATCTGACTGGAGTTTGTGGGTGAGATGGTCCATTGGGAGTGCAGGTTGTCCTGACCTGACTTGACCCCCTCCAAGGGCCAGGAAACTGCAGAGGGAGAGTGTCCCCATGAAGAAAGTTCTGTTGGTGAGAATCAGAGCAAGGTGCATCCAGTCCATACTGGGGAAGAGGTCAGGACTGTGCTCTGAGAAAGCCTTT